ATATTATATTATATTATATTATATTATATTATATTATATTATATTATATTATATTATATTATATTATATTATATTATATTATATTATATTATATTATGCTTTTTGGTTCACGGGTAAAATAAAAGACGATCACGTAACAGTACAAAAACACCTTGGAACCCCGTAGGCAGGCCGGTGACACCGGTTCGCACTTAAGGGGGTACCAACCCCCCTGCCAAATTCCAAGGGAAAATCAAAACATTTAAAACACAGAACAAGTAACATAAAATAGATATGCGCTGCTGTAAGTGTGTGCAATGATAGCCCACCAAGAGGACAAAACTCTTGGCTCCTGTGCGTGTGCTATATTATATTATATTATTATACATCTGTCACCGCAAAGCCATACGTTACAGCGTGTCGTAATTTTGCGGTATTTTACAGGGTATTTTCATTCACCATATAAGAAAATGTGCATTTAAAATATGGAATGATTACGCGCGTAAGCGTCCTCTAATAATAAAAACAAACATGGCTGCCACCAGGGTTTGACCAGATTCCACACAAAGAAGTTGATTCTATTCTAAACTTTTTGGATTTCAGCTTTCCCATGATGTATCCTTGAAGGGAAAAGATGCGCGTCGGTCGATACTCTCGTTGCACTGTCTTCGTGCATACTTTGAGGTATCCTCGTAATAACCTCATATTATTAATTAAGCAAGCAGAGGTAAAATACAACATAATCGATGTCATATTTTTTACGTGAGGAACACACAGTAAAAGTAAGTCCTGCTGATATCGGCAAAAAATATTGTTCATATGAAACGTTATGAAGAACATTTTGCTACTATATAGTTAGTACCATGTCACATGATTACTTTTGAGAATGTTAAAGTTGTAATGAAAATAAACCACCATCGAAGGCAAGGTTGGTATACTACTTGAATTTGCACAATCCACTCGTGTTTACATGACACGAATTGGTCAAAATACCATGGTATACCGCTTTCGGCGGCGATTTAACGACGGTAGATATAAACAATAAGAAATTGGTGCACATCGACATATGTTTCTGTATTTCAGCAATTACACGGGACTCCTATAAATTACAATTAGTGTGTTTTATGCTAGAACTCAAAGGTCGAATGAGTGACACCTCTGTAACGTTTACAATGTCGTGTATTGAATCGACATGTAGGTACACTTTGGTATGAGCAGTTCTCGGTGCGTACTCGTTGCCGACTACGATCGCTAAGAATTACCAACGCATATACCGTATTCTCACTACAAATAATTAGGCCTTTCCAAGGACAGACAAATATGATATGATATGAGATGCTGCCTGTGGGATTATGGGGGAGCGTATTAAGGTTGAATCAAGCTTTTCTTAGCGCGACCACTCCGGTTTTGGTACCGGCCAATACCAAGCTTCGGCTACTCATCCTCTTCGGTACTTTTATATGGTGAACACGGAAAGAACAAAAGCTATGCCACCACTTGAGGGCGTTAGGCGGCCCAATCCCCACTTGCTACCCTATCCCCAATCTGATTAAAATCTGATGTAGAGTACGGGCTTTAATTATTTTGGCTATAAACTTATTTTAATTTTATTTTGTATTACTTTTGTTATTAGTGCCTTTTTATTTTATTATTTTACTTTGATTTTGATTTTGTAATTTTTTTTAATTCCGCCCTACATACATCTGATCCGACGCCTATGTAAGCCCCCTTTTATAAAGGCTGTCGGTTACTTAATTTCAGTGTAGCAATACTCTACGGGCAATCTTTATGCACATTATAGATTGCCCACTTGAATAAACCATTAATAGAAAATTGCTAGTATATTTTTATTTACAAAAGAAATTCCACAACATTTTACAATTTTTTTCATTACATTGAATATTCTTTTCACTTCCAACAAATGTGTACACTTCCTGATATATCTTCGCCAGCCAAGGTTCGTTTATTCAGTCATCGCTTCAATTTCACATCAAACACTGAGCATAATTATCTAGAATGGAAGCAAAAAAAAGTAAATCGTAATGATTAGAACATTGCAAACAGCTATAGTAAACAATGCAAACTGATTTTAAATTGTATAACGGTCACCAGCCCACGGCATCGACGCAGAAAATTGGAGCAAAAAATATTTCCTGATCAATTGCGATGTGTTCCAAATAAAAAATATTTTATTCCAGTCCAAATCAGCTCAATTACTTTAATAAAGAGTTAGTGTATAATGTGCAAAATGTTGATACATTTTGATGAATATTTACAGCTTACGGCTTCCGTAGACGATTTTGGCCCGATCGTCAACAAAACATCATCCGTCTCCAGGGCAAGCGACTGGAAAAAGACACTGGTGTCCGGTCGAACCGGTGGAAACAAAATCGTCACTCCCAGAATAACTACACAAAATAACGATCTAAACTAGAACCATTCGAGCCACATTATAAACATAAAAAAATGACTTTCGTTGCATTTGACAATGATAAACTTACCGAAAAGCCGTGTTTTTCTCGGTCGCTAACGTCGATATAACCCGCCATTTTAATTGAGTGTGTTTGCTACCTGACTTTGCCCGGTGACGTCATCATGTGGCTATAGAAGGAGGTCTGTGATTCGTTGACTAAAATCGTCGATAGTGGGTCTCGTTGAAAACTCGTTACATAGGAATTAAAAAAAAAATACAAAATCAAAATTAAAGTAAAGTAAAATAATAAAATAAAAAGACATTAATAACAAAAGTAATAAAAAATAAAATTAAAATAAGTTTATAGCCAAAATAATTAAAGCCCGTACACTACATCAGATTTTAATCAGATTGCCCTATCCCCAATTACATATAAATACATTATGTATTCACACAATTATGAAAAATATCGAATGACTTTAACTTATACGTCGGCGTAGAGATACTGATTCAAGTGTAATTTGCCGTTATAAATATACTTACTAATCTGTATAAATCCGAACATTGTCATGTCGTGACTACAGGACTAAGCTACGCAGTTTAAGTTGACAATATTTGTTTTCTTGAGAATTAAATTTATGGATATCGTTAATCTCTCAGTCATGGATCGGACTACGTCATATGAACCATATACAATAGACAAACCAAGTTGATAACATGTTTATTTAAATGATCATGTACTGCTACATTCGTATTCATATATCATCTGTGTTATGTCGTATTAAGACAGTACAGCAATCGCATCGATCGACGCGTGGCGTAAGTCGATGCAATCCCGGAATGCTTGTGTGATATTCTCGTGATAAACCTAATTGTTTCCATTTGTAAGAATAATTTAATTGGAGATAGTATTCACAAATGCCAGGGAAATCCATGATTGTGTGACCGTTTACGTCCTACGGTGGAACGTTAGGATGAGTACAAATGAATTTCGAACGAATGCAAAAATTCTGCTACTTACAAAATGGTAAATTATATTTTGCTAATAGATTTAAGTAAGTAATTGTAATTATTAGTATATTCATAAATTGCATGTTGGATAGGTGCATCTCGATAACATCTCAGACAACTAATAGAAAAGATTAGTCAGAGGGTTTTTTCGTACCATGATTGCAATATATTGCGTGTCGTTGTAAAAAAAATACCCATTACTTGTGTACTTGGTTTTCTCTCAGAACTTACTACCATGTATTAAACATGTGATCGCAAATCTGCACCTGTGGAAATGAAATCTCATGACTTTGATCTTTTATAATATTTCAGGAACAACTATTCAGGAATCGAGCGAGATGTACGTACCCGGCGCATATGAATATGAATTAGCTAAAATACAGTAATATATACAACGTGAATATGACGTTTTTTTATTTGTGTATGGAAGACAGGTGCCTGTGTTCACGTCGACAGTGTTCATGCATGTTGAATTTCACTCAATTCTGTGTTAATTTCACTCATACATGAGTTGCTTTCTACAATGCAAAGCTAGTGTACCTATATCATTGTGGAGCATGAAAGTTCCTGTGCAAAAATCTCATTGTGACTTTGAATATCAAAATGGTGGTTTGGATCTTATGCACCTTTACCAACTACTTTTATTGAAGCTATTCTTGCATCTTGGGTACCAAAACTCCTGGCAGATCCACTAAATACCAACAGTAAGCTAGTAACTGTTCTTTCAAACAATGTTAGGAATAGAGTCTCAGTATTTCAGGATATTTAATTCACGGCAGGCCATTTAACCAGGCAAGAGATCTTCCTCAAATACATTATGTCATCATGTCCATGTGTGTTGGTGCAAAACAGTTGTGCAGACAGTGGTTTAATCCTTGTAATAAACAGATACAGGTATATGCTGACTGGTATAAAAAACACTGTTTATTTCCCTGAACTGCAGGATGAGTATTACAATATTTTATATTTTCAATAAATTTGTTTTCGCTTTATAATTGAAATATTACGAGCTTATAAACGCTTTTCCAAAAATTGAAACGAACTGGTTGTTTCGTAAAGGAATACATACATGTACAGTAGCAGTGAGCATTCGTACAAACATCACGTTGCAATATCAGCCATGCAAACGAATATAGGTTAACATGTTCGGGAAATAAATTAACTATCGGTTTTTGTATGTGTTGGACACGGATGAAGCCTTAGAATTTTAGTATTTTCTACTTTGTTTTGAATTTCTGAGGAGAATAAGAGCTTGGAATATTCTATATAAATAGTAAAAAAAACATCTGACGTCATAATTATATTCAATTCTGCGATTGTCAGTCTCGTAAACCAAAAACGGGACTTTTAATTTCAATTACGGTTTTCCATGCGTCTGTCTTGTATCTCTTAGATATGCCTTGGTCAATTGCATTCAAACCTCACACACATTCAACAAAACGAGCATCATTTGAAAATCAATTTCGGAACAGGATCGCAGTCATATGTGACATATTTCATTCAAACTTGGTATGTCCATTGGACATAATGGTTCTTAACTTGTCTATTGAAGCGTTATATTGTGTATATTGTTTGTGAGTCTCACGTCTGGCGTATTCAAATATATGGATATGCATAGAATACAAGTAGAAGTGTTCGATATATCAATAATATTCAACGTTAGCATCAACATTAATATCTGAAATATTAATCCTGATGAAGTGAAAACAAGTTACTAACGTGTACTGAGACCAGGGTAAGTTCACACATTTTAATGCCAGTGTAAAACAAGGTTTCTGAAAATTATGTATCATTTTGAAATTGAATAGCTGCAGCTTTCAGGATAATGATTATCGCAGGCACACATTTTATTACATACACTCTGTGAAGATGTACGACACAGTTTTACATTTGGTATGTGTGCATTGAAAAGTGCATACAATTTGGAGAAATAGCTTTATCCCAGTAATACGTTTTTGTTGGGGTTTATTTCTCATCATATGTATCATATACACTTCAAACACAATAGAAAATCTCACTACCTTCTCAGGAAACAAATACTTGGAAAATACTTGAGTATAGTCGTTACTTGTTGTGCTAGACATGGAGCGTATCACGTGTGAAACCCTATGTATAACACACACCATTAAAACGTTAATACCATTTAAAAATGGTCGATAATTGTTCCCTACCATCATTATCTTGAGTTTCAAAAAACCTTTTTAAAAATATATATATTTGAAATGAACTCGTTTTACTAGAGCCGCGTTTTAACCGTCTAATATAAAAATACGATTTCTCTAAAAAGAGGTGGACGATCCATGTTTCCTATTACAACTAATAGTAGAAACCAAAATATGTCGCACTCTACGGGAAAAAAAACTTTGGTTTTGTGATACTATATCGTGCTCCCTACTTCGCGCTCGCTGCATAAGTTGCATATACATGACCGCGCTTTAACGGTTTCTTAAAATCCCCACTCTGACACGAGTCAGTTATTTACCTTAAAAGTTGACTTTATCCAACTTCCTATGTATGCACACTTTCGAATGATTGAATTGATACAATTAGTTCGAAATATGTTTTCCATGTGTAACATCTATATAAATATGCCGTGTAAGCATATCGATCCCAACTAACAAATTACATAGGTGACGTACGTATATTATCTCTGTGGTTGTACAGATGACTCCTAACGCTAATTTATATTCATCAATGTAGTGTAATGCAAATTACAATTTACTTCAGTTTTCTAAAAGCATATTGAATAATAGGCTTAAGATATAAGGAGAAATGTAAATTGAATAATCGAAATAAACAACCGGTTTTAGGATATTTAAATGAAATCACCCTCGAAAGAGTTACTCCTTAGATCCCTGATCCCAGATTTCAATCTACACAGGTATAGAAAACAGACACTACGATTCCCACACCAGTCTGTTTATGAATAATTACCTAAATAATGTGTGCTACTATAATATGTGAAAAAGAAGCTACGTTTGTGCCTGTGACATGCATGGTATAATGAGTAGTCAAATATGTAGCTGGCCCGATAGGATTTGTATTCAGAGAAAGCTATAGAACAATATTTTTTTACTTTTATTTTGTATGGCATACTATAACTAACCCTCGTTTCCAGGAAGGAAGTTATCAACGGTACAACGCCAACTGGTTACTGTGTCGTTAGTTATATTCAGCCATGAGTGACATATTCCGTATATTTTAATCAAATACAACAATAGTGACGCCCATCATGTTGCTACTCATAGGATGTCTAGTGTCGCGTGTAGATTTGTGTCATATCGCGTGGTGAAATGTGTTGTAAAATGACGTAAGGTTTCTGTATTTGTGCATACATATTCAAAGAGATTTATAATTACCATGCGCTATTTAATTAAATGAAGCGAAATTTAATTTAAAGGAAGGTGGATGTTGTTGCGTTACAAACCGAATGAATGTTGGCATATCACGGAAGGGTGCACACTTACGTGGTATAACATTGCACAACTTGAGAACGTATTCATCTCCCTGTGGGGCACGACGCGGTTACCATAGTTACGAAAATCAATACCACGCGTTGATGCACCTATCAATGAGTGGCTTATCATATATGTTTTAGACATCATTAAACGATGTACACATGCGCACAGTGTTCGTAGTGCCATAGCATATTAGATTGCCACAGATGGTGAAAAACCAACGTTAGTCGTGCAAAGGGATACCAACTGGCAGGCAGTACATTTGATAATACATTTATGAATGCCGAGTGTGTTCGCTCTGCCTGTTATATAGTATAGGTATAGTATAGGATTGTTGAAGACGTGAGTACTATTCTATCAATCTTACACAGAAGCTGCTTCAATTTCCTGGTGTCAAATTCCGCACTCCATGGGGGTCTGAACACTCTCGAATTGCCTGATACAAAATTGTCGTCGTGCAAGACAGTTTTATTTACTTCTATAACTCATAATCATGGAAAGGAATTCGACTTGGAACGTTTCGACAGACGAAAGTATCTACACACCGTGTCGTATAACGAACAGGGTCGTGGAAGATGTTATTAGCATTATATTGTGTTGTTGCGGTATTCCTGGCAATCTGATTGTTATATTCGTGGTATTGCGACTGCCTTCGATGAAAAGCGTTACAAACGTTCTGCTGGTTAATCTCGCTATCGCAGATCTTCTTTGCCTTGTTCCCAACGCTGTATATTATCTCTGGCGTATCTTAGAACCATCTATCATCGGGGAAACGGCAGGACTGGTGGTTGTTCTTTTGTCGATCGTTGGCATTTATGTATCGTTGAATACTTTAGTTGTTATAAGCGTTGAGCGTTACCTGGCTGTTTGTAAAACTCTATATCATAAGGCCAGATTTGTCAGTAGAAAGCGCAATATGGTGATAGCTATAATATCAATTTGGACTTTAGCGTTGATTTTGTCTTTTCCAAATCTAAATTACGTCATCTCAATCACTGATATGGATATGCATATGTTGTCGACGTATTTCTATGTCCTGGATTTCCTGTTCGTCTGTATCGTTATGAGTATCCTGTACGCTAGAATAATACTAACTCTTAAGAATACTAAACGACTAGGAAGCATGAGAGCCAGGGCTTCTGCAACACGAGAGAAACGTGTCGTCACTTTATGCCTTGCTACGGCCAGTATTTCAATTGTATGTATGTTGCCATGGATATCTACAGGAATTATACAACTTATGGTGTTATATTATGAAATCATTTCTTGGCCAACATGGATGTACTGTTTAGGTACCATCAGTAATTACTTCGTTCAAGCCAATTCTTGTATCAACCCATACATCTATAATATGCTAAGTAGTAAGTACCGACGTGCCTTCAGAGAAGTATTCTGCTGCATTGAAAAAGCAAAAATACGTCGATCTAGTTATTTTGAGAAACACAACCCAATGACCACCGAGTGCACCGTCTCCGAGTCCAAAGTGAACAGAGATTATGCAGTGAACTCCGAAAATATTGGTGTGGACAGTTTTGAGTTACAGCTTAGCAGATCTGTTTGGGGGAATGACAAAAGTTCTTGTTAGAATTTGATGATGGTTCTTCTGCATTTATCGAGGTTAGCTACTTTATCGACACTATGAAGTTTGGAGCTATTCTGATCACGTAACTACTCTTCTCTTGACACGTCACTGCCTAATTAAACGTACAACAGCGCTTCTGTGAAAACACAAGTACACATTGCCCATGCCAACGGATTAGCTAGCAGAGAATTACGTAGAACTGTTAGAATATTTGTTTCATTTACTATTCTTCAAATTACAGAGTTAGTTAACATCTGGTAACAAACTCCTGTTGTTGGGGGAATAATTTAAATCCGAATCCACCACTTTCATCTTAGCTCGACAATTGTAGCTATTAGTATATGATATGTTCATTCCAGTAGGCCCCAGAGTTCAACCATTATCTCTGTACATTTACTGATCTTCGTCTGTCCTTTTATAATTTATACTTAAACTAATATCGTTTATTGAATTTCGCTTCATATGTTACTTAATGAGGTTATGTTTACTGGTGCAACAGCCGCTGCAATTGATTTAGGCTACTACTTAGAGTTCACACACATGTCGAAAAACTAGTAGATCGTTTGTATTGGTTTTCAGATAGCAAAAACCCACAATACCCAGTACGATTATTCATTGCCTATGAGAGCTGTTCTTGTCCCTTTGTATACCTACACCCCTGCAAACAATATTTGATATATAGGTAGTTATTTATTCAGAGGTTGTAAATAAATACTAACATGAGTATAGACACTCAAACTTATTAAAATTTCATTCATTTAATTATCTCTTCCATTGTTTGTGAAGACACACTCGATTAATTTGCGGGTGAGATGCAAATAATGAAACAGTGAAATGTGTTCAACGCTTGTACATACTCTCTTATGCATTAAATAATGCTCGACCAATTACATGTATGCGTCTCTTCTATTTAGCATTTTAGTATTACTGAATTGTCGTTGATGCAACTTTTGTTTCACCAATGCTTCAAACTGTTTTTGTTTGACTTGGTTGTGAATTAATGATTAATTTTAGGATAGATGAAATAATCACACGCACGCACGACAACTCAAATGGGTCGATAGTTAAACATTTGCAAATTAAAATTCCACGAAAACAGATTTGACAGCAAAGAGTTATATCACGTAGATGTCAAATAGTATTTACATGTATTTGTACTGATCAATAATATCTATTTATTAAACGAGTGCATTAAGTTGAGATTACGCGCTCAATATGCGTTGAGATTTACGCGTTATAGGTCCATGAATGCAATTTCCTATTCATCCAAGGTATTATGTTTTCACAATAATCGTAAAATGTGGATATTACCCAAGATGTCCACACGTTCCATCTTTTTTGCATACACCATCTTCTTTTCTTGTTCAAAGATTTACAAACAGATCTCGTCCTCTACGATTAATGGGTTTGTTCGTTATGGCGATATCGATATATGTGGTTTTAGACACATATCAGTAATATGTACATTAATGTTCGAGGACACACAATTAGTCGCATTTACAAGCAGACGTGCCGAGTGACGGTTGGGAGATTGTTACAAAAATGTGACTTTTCAAAACGAAAGTGCATCTTTCATTTGTGTTTGAAGTTATCAGAAGTTGTCAGATTTACTATAATATAAAAAAATGTCAATCGGATGATTTGAATTAATAAAAATATGTGGGAGACAATTTTCATATGATCTATTATTACAAGGTAGTGTCATAATTTGACAAATATGTCGTGATGTCACGTCAATAAGAGGAGAGAACACATAAACCTCTCCTGGAGCAATTCAAGCTAACAACCGAGTATAGATTAGAATTTATATGACAAAGAAACTATAATCACACGGGGTGACTTCTGGCGTTTCGCTTGTACACCATGTGGGGAATTTGTTAAATGTGTCGATTAAGTCACGATGAAATCTACTCAAAAAATTCCGGAGACAATTTTGCCTTATAGATTTACACAATAATAATGCGTTCTTTACATTGTATTAGCCTGGAGGCATGCAGACATAAAAGTGTTTCTTCCAATTAGCAACAAAAAGCGCGAAATGAAAAATTCGTTCTACAGATGTAGGCTTACTTATAGCCGTGAAGCCATAAATATATTCTCTCATCGATACTGCCTATTGTTAACTTGATATACTATTATTTCTAGTATTATATTTATCTTTCGTAAATGTTAATATTTCTAACTACTGCTGTATCATCAATCGTGCATTGTACTGTATATAACGAAACAAACTATCTACCTTAGAGTGTATGCATTTGTCTTTTTTTGTGTTGAGTAAATTGTATTAATATTTACTAATTACTGTGTGTTCCCATTTGAATATGTGCTTGACAAAATATTGTGTATACGAACATTAAAGTTGGGCTGACATTTTTAAAGATGTCCTTGGTCTGTCATTCAGAACACGAACGACTACAGACATTCATCAAAGAATTTGCGAATATTCTTACTAATAATAATGTTAATACCTAATAAGATTTTATTTGTCGATGTATTCTCGTTTTTCAACAGAACCGTGAGCATTCATGATAATTAAAAGCGATGTCCAGTAATAGTGTATATATATATATATATATATATATATATATATATATATATATATATATATATATATATAT